AGACGACCTGAAAACCGATTTGGCCAACTTTTTCGTAGCGCAGCCGCCAGAGTTCTATTGGAATGGCATCCATAGTTTGCATAAACGTTGGCGTGAAGTGATAGAGGCCAATGGTGATTACATTCATGATTGAGATGATTTTGCTTTTAAATAAACTGGGTTGTAATAATTGCTCATGAAATTCCGAGAACTTTCTTTCCAATCAGATATATGACGGCTTGGAAAGGCGCAGCCTTGTAGGCCTTCCACCTTAGGCCGTGGATGGCGCGGCCTATGATCCAGAAGGGGATTGCATTGTAGGCCTACGCGTTGGGGGTAACAGCCACGGCCACCACCACCAACCACCACCGCAGCTTTTGACCTCTTCGAATTAAAGTATAGGATATATAGCTAATTTGGTGCATATCTCTCCTATTTTCTTGCATCGTTCTCTCGTTTGAGACACACTCGATGTACAAGTAATTTTTGCAAGCCAACTTCTAATAACATGAAAAAAGCCGCATCACAGTGCAGATATATTTTGAGATCGTAGTAGCAGGCTTTTTTCCTCATGTCAGACATGTCATAAGCGATGGTCATAAAACTCGATCTCCATTTCCGAATAGCCTGAAATTATATTTTCTCCCTCCTTGCTCGACATTGCGTTCCTTGAGAATGGTGATGCGAATTCCTGCTCCCTAATTTATTTAATTGTAAGGAACTGAGATCACTGTATGCCAGGGCCTCTCACCCCGTCGCGCGGATGCTCGACGAAGGACTGCGGGGGAGGGAGAAAGAAAGGAAGTGGAGAATGGAAGGGAATGTTTTGCCTGGGAATTTTTTTTTTTTTTTTTTTTTTGGGGGGGGGGGGGACTTCATCGTTAGAGGAATCCTAACACGCTCATGGCCACAATGCCTCATGATTCCTTCCTTCAACTCTTCCTCTGAACAATGACTCTAACTAATATTAGCTAATATTAATTACTCTAACTAACTAACCCTTGACTTCGTTTCTTCCTCTCCAGAAATGAAACTTTTTGCACCTCCACCATTTCATCGGTGAGGTCTAGCAGTTTCACCCGGGGACAGAAAGCGAACGAGGGATTTGTCAGTTCAAGGTCGTGGGGGGCGAGAATTCAATTCAATTCAATTCAATTCTATTCTATTCTATTCTATTCTATTCTATTCTATTCTATCTATTCTATTCTATTCTATCTATTCTATTCTATTCTATCTATTCTATTCTATTCTATCTATTCTATTTTATTCTACTCTATTCTATTCTATTCTATTCTATTCCTTCCGCCTAAATAGGCGGAAGGAATAGAATAAATGCATCGCATCGCTCGTTGCCCAGCGCGTCTTCGCGGATGGCGTGCATCAACCGACTCGATTCTGAACGCGAGTGCTGGGAGGGAAGGGCGTGAGGGGGCGTGAGGAGGCGTGAGGAGGCGTGGGGGCGTGAGGAGGCGAGGGTGAGCATTCCACCGGAAGGAATTTATGTTTAGAGAGTGGAGGGGAGGCAACGAGAAACCGGACAAATTCTTTCCCAATTTATTTTTTTTTCCCTTGGAAAGAACGACTTCATTCGGGATGAAGTATCTTCTCTGATCTGTCTGTGATAATGTGAAAGCGAGTTTTCGGTATAACATGCATGAAAGAACATCCTCTAAGAAAGAGACGAGGAAGACATAACGATATAACATAACGGAAGCTTTCTCGAGGAAATGAGGAAATTGGGCCGGAAAAACGGAGACGTTTTCATCGTGGAAAGCTGTGAGGCTCACCGACGAATGATTCCCCGATTCTCGTTGAATTAGCTCTATTCAAATCAGAGGTCGAGAGATGGCTTAGGTTCTCCGTCGGCTCCCATTGCGACTGTGTTGCAGGCCGAGGCGCGTCTGACACGATATCGCAGGAACAGTCTTGAACAAACTGTGAACGAACTTGAACAAACTGTGAACGAACTTGAACGAACTTGAACAAACTGTGAACGAACTTGAACAAACTGTGAACAAACCAGAGAGTTTGCACTTATGTGCCGTGGAGCATACTCAGCAGTTTCCATGGAGAGGTCATTGAATACAGAAGTCATTTTCGAATGCAGTCGTCCTTTCCACGCCATAGAAAGAAAAGGCCTTCACTGTCTGGTCCATATAGAGTGCATATAGATGTCTCTAGTAGGCCTTCGTTGCCTCGAGAGTTACAGTGCTCCCGCCATCTTGGGACGGTCTCGCACGCGGAAACGAATAGCGTGATCGGTTGGGTCTCGGCGTGGAGGTCCCCAGGCATACAGCCTGGGGCAAGTTGCCTCTTTTGCCCTCCTCCTCTCCATGTGTCTATGAACTCCTTGCTCGTCCGACTTCGGTAAGGTGGCGGCCGCGCCTGGAAGGTTGCAGTGCCTCGCGTCATAGCGGAGGCCCCTCCATTTATTCACTCCCTATGGTCTGGTTTCTTCGGGTCACTCCTTCCCAATGTAACCAGACCGATATAATGGGACTCTATGGCGCAAAAGTTTTTCTCGATTTGAATGAAAACGCGCCCAATTTAGGAAGAGCCACTTGGTGCATTGGCTCGTGATGAAAATCTCTTAGGTTGAATTTGTAGTTTTGCGTTTGTTTT